TGTGGAAGACACTTGTGGCGAAGGCAATTGCGAATCAGTCAGGTGCCAACTTTATTTCTATTAAGGGACCCGAATTATTAAACAAGTTTGTTGGTGAAAGTGAGCGGAGTGTCCGAATGGTGTTTGCTCGCGGACGTGCGAGTGCTCCTTGTGTTCTGTTTTTTGATGAGCTGGATGCGCTAGCACCTCGTCGGGGGTCTGACCGTGCGAACCCAAGTAGCGAGCGTGTAGTGAACCAATTGTTAACGGAAATGGACGGTATAGAGAGAAGGGAGGACGTGTACGTCATTGGTGCGACCAACCGACCCGATATGATTGATCCTGCCATGCTGCGTCCAGGGCGTCTGGACAAGCTCCTCTATGTTCCCCTTCCCTCCGTCGAGCAGCGTTTTTCCATTTTGGCAACACACGCTCGCCGCTACCCGATTGACGCCTCGGTGGACCTGAACCGCATTGCTCATGACCCACGACTTCAGGGGTTCAGCGGAGCAGACTTGGCAGCTCTCGTGCGGGAGGCCTCACTGCATGCCTTGAAGAAACTGTACCGCTCCACCACCGCGGAGGAGCTGGACTTGCTGGAGCGGAATCTCGGTGGAGAAAACATCGAAAAGACACTGCTGCCTTCTGTGTGCGAAGAGGATTTTGAGGCCAGTTTGCAGAAGGTTAGGCCCTCTGTTTCTGCGGAGGATCGGGAGAGCTATGAGTTGCTGCACCGGCATATCATACAGTCAGCGAGGTCTACGGGATGAAAGAAGAGAGAGCTCCTCATCCCGCGTTTTCAGTGGGACGAAAAGAGGGGGACAACGGGAAGAAAAAAAAAAAAAAGGAAAGAAGTGGGCAAACAACAGCAATGATAATAATATTCATAATGATAATAATAATGATAATAATAAACAGGCCAAGTCACAAGCACTCCGGCGTCTTTTTCATGATTCTCCTCTTCTAATTTGTTGTTCTGCTGATTGTGTGGCATTTTTTTTTTTTTTTTTTCACGTCACCGCTCTCTCATTTATGAAAATGTTTTGAAATATTTCTTTGGGCTGTGTGGAGATTTTGGCGAGGGGCACGCCATGGAACTCTCTTTTCTCCAGTTTTATTCTTTTTCTTCGCGATTCTAATGGACAGTTCTAATGTTTCCGCCTTCTTGTCTTTTGTTGTCTGGCGAGGCAGTAGTATGAGGGTGCGGTGAAGCAGAAAGAAGTTTTCAGTTTTTTGCTGTTTTTTTTTTTTCCCCCCCTTTTCAGTGGTCATATTTCCCCACGCCTATAGTCACACATTCAGTTTGGGTGCAAAAAAGCTCACCGCGGGTCGTCCTATTTGAAGCTTTTTTTTCCCTTTTTACTGTATTACTACTCCCGCAGAACATCTCTCCTTCAACGACCCGCCCATCTGAATTGCACTCCCATACATACAACTGCTGTTGATGCTGCGTTGCACGCTCTGTCGTCATGCGTTGCCGAAGATTGAGCGGCGCAAGCGGAAGGGACAACACGCTCGGCCGGGACTTCCAGATCTTCCAAAGAGTGCTGGCGGCTACTTCTTCCTGCAGATGCGTCCCTACCTTCCCATAGCGTGGCAGTATGGATGGCGTTGGAGAATGCTCCAGGGCCTGTGGCTTGGCACGGCCCTTTCTTTTGCGGGTTATTTGTTGTACGTCATGTACTTCCGGGACTCGGATGAGGTCATTGCGGCCAAGGCGGCCAAGTATACGTATGTGCGAAACGAACGGGGAGAGGTGATTGACATCGGCTACAAACCGCTCATTGATGCAAGTCGTCGTGCACAACGACGAGCCCAGCGTTTGTTGGCTGATGATGACGATGGGGATTGATCTTGGTCAGAATTGAAAAGCATCCGACGTAGCGTGATGAGGACTTCTTTTGGTATGAGTTGCTCTTTTTGTTTGATCTGATTGTTTGATGTTTTGTTTTGCGGCGGTGTGACTGGTGTGGCAATAAAGCTGGCAGGTTTTTTTCTTTTTCTGCCGGAAGGGCTGTTCTACGATGAAATTGTGAAGTGCGTGGCACGCGTTTTTTTTTTTTTTTTTTTGACCATTTTCAATTATTCGGCACGCCTTGGCAATAGAGGGGACACGGCAGCTTTCACTGAACCGCGTGAATGTGAATTGTGTTTTTGGGAGCAGCTGTTTTTTCACCGTATTATTCACTTTTTCCTTCGTTCTTTATGTTTTTTTTTCTTTTTTTATTGTCACGATGCTGGTGAGGCGGCAGCCACGACTTCATCGCATTCCGGTGACGTTAGTTTCTCCCAGAGAGACAGGGACACGCATAGAGACGGGGTGAAGGGGGCAAACATGGGGCATGTGAAAGAAGAAATGTCCCCGCAGCGAGAGGATGCCGCCGTGGAGAGTCCAATGATGCTTCCTACGGAGCAGCACAGCCGGGTCATACAGCCTTTTCACGCCCACATTCTCTTTCTGGAGGATGCCTTTTTTAGCGCTGAACAGCAGAAACTGGAGATTTTTGACTTGGCGTGTGCCTTTCTGGTGCCGGTCGACATTTCACGCTCTCTCACACCGGAGCAGATGGAGGGGGCGGAGCAGCGTTTGCAACTACTTTTACGTTCCTTTGAGAGGGCCTGCCAGGATGAACTCGCAACTCTCCGAGAAGAAGGGGATGCATTAAAACAGCGGATGGCGCACATCATTGCGATGACCGAAGAAAAGTGGAGATTGGCTGAGCGCTCCCGTCAGGATGACTTTATGGAGATGTCTGTCGCATGTCAAAAAGACGTTGCTGCCATCACCGCAGAGTTGCGGTCGGGGGTACTGAGTTGCCTCCAAGACAGCCGAATGAGTGCAGTACTGGAAGAGGCCCTGAATGTCAAGATCAATGAGCTGCGGGTGATGCAAGGACAACTGGAGGATCTCACGGAGTCGCGATTAAAGGAGTTTACGGAGCACCAAAAGCTCCTGCAAGCGGAACGGGAAAGGCACCGAGAACGTTTTTTGGTACTACAAGAGGAGACCACACGAACAGTTAACTCGTTGACGGCGGACATTGAGCGGCAGCAGCGCCAGCACTTGCGAGAGATTAGGGAAGTGCAGCGGCAGCACACTGTTCAGGTGAAAGACTTGGAGAGGCAACTGCAAGAAGAGAGGGAAGCCCACGCCACTGAGTCGCAGAAGCGCACGGAGGAGTTGGATCAAATCCAAGCAACGGTGAAAAAATTAGAGGGGGATAAAACGCGGCTCATGCAGGAGTTAAGTGAGCAGCATTCACAAGTCGAGGAGTGGCGTAGGCGCTACAATGAACGGGATTCGCTGGCCAAGTTGGAACGGATAGAGCACCAGGCGCGTTTTGATGAGCTGCATGTCGAGGAGGCACAGACGTTTCGCAAACAATTGGTTGACAGTGTGCGCCGCAGTGCCTCTTTATCATTTGATCGCCCAAATTCTAACGGAAAATCATTGTCGAGGAGTAGTGCTCCCCATTCATTTCTCATGACGAGCGAGAGTAATGTGCAGGGCCGTCATTCAACCGGGGCCGCTGAGGGATCCATTCATTCACTGCACTCTCATGAGAAACGCACGGCCGTCTTGTCTCCAGGGTCTTCTGAGGGTTCTGCTAACCCGTATGCCAACATATCGCTTCACAACCCAACGTCAAGTTATGTCAGGCTTATGAACTTGTCTGAGCAATTGAAAAAACATATTGAATTCAACTGATTCTCTGGATCTTGTTCCTTTTCTTTTGGAGGGGAGAGGGAGGGAGGGAGGGAGGGGTAAAAGCAATTTTGAACTCTGTCTTGCCTTAATTATTACTCTCTCATCCATTTATTATTCGTTGTTGTGTAGGTAAACGACATTTATCGTGCGTGTGTTTGTGTGTGGCGTTTTGTTTTGAATCCCAAAGCGAGTAGGTTGAAGTTTTTTTTTTTTTTTTTTTTGTACTCTTTATTTTTCACTTGGTACTTACACCGTGAAAGCGACGAATAATGACAAGAGTAAAAATAGGAAGAATTTGATTGATGCTTCTGTGGATAACTCGGCCAGTGTTAGTGTGTGTGTGTGACGTGAATGTATCGTGTTCTTTCAAAATCGTGTTTCTCTTGTGTTTATGTCTTCTTTGGCATCTTAGAACTTTTATGCAGAAGCGGAGAAAATAAACTGCGGACCTGTCCGAAAAGGCAAAATAAAATACAGGGAAGACATATTGCACGTGCAAGGAGGAGGCTTTTTTTATGAGTGAGAAGGCTGAGCGATCCGCCTCCCCCGTATCCGATGGCTGCTTTCCCGTCCCTCCTGCGCTTCCAGCGGTAAATAATTCCGTCGTTTCACGGGAATTTGCCCCTGCCGCACCGTCCGAGCCCACCGGGAGCAAAATTTCGATACCGTACACCAGTATGAGCGCAGCTACTCTTCCATTGACCTCAGCTTTGAGCGGCCGCGGCGGCATGAGTACCGCACATAGCCGAAGGAAGGGGGGTCCCATGACGTTGTATGTGCGCTCAGGCAGCAGTGATAACAGGGACTGGGCGGGCTCGAGGGAGGAAATGAAAGGAGAAAAGCGGGACTACGCTGAGCAAACTGCGTTGGCTCACGGAGAAAGGGACCCCGTGGAAATGAGTTCCAACCTGATTCGAGAAGCACTCACGATGGGATCAACCGTGACGCGGGCCGTCAAGGATGCGATCCCAGGATTTGTGAAGCCCAAAAAACGAGGACGCAGCGTCACGGAACCGTTGGTCTTCATTTTCTTTATGGTTGTGTTTATTTTCCTTTTTCGCATTGCGGAGGAACAGATTCAGTGGATGATCCGAGTTGTCACGTACGATAATGAACAGAATGTGATAGTTGCAACAAGTTTGACGGAACAACTGCTTGAAAAGGCAGACGAGGTGAATGAACTCATGAAGCCAGTTAGACGAACCCCTAGTGATGTCCTAGAGAAGGAAACGACAAAGTTGAAGGAGATGACCGAGTTGCAAGAGACCAGTATTAAACATTTGCATTCCCGAATGCTTTACCCAGGGCCGGTGGAGGATGTCAAGTTCCTGGTTGAGGAACACGTGGCCTACAAAACGAACCTGGCAAAGATGGTTAGAGAAGAACTGGAATGGCTTGAAGATAAAAAGCAGGAGCGACGTGGCCGTCGAGTCAACCCAGACGAAAGTGTAGTGGGAATGAGGCAAGTAGAGAAGGAAGGACCCAATTCAAACGACAGAAAGCGCATGGCAGGATTACAGCGGCAGCGGGAATTTCCAAAGCAACAGGCTTACTTACTGCAGAGAAGCGAGATCACAATGTCGAAAAAGGCCACAGGAGCCATTGGCATTTGGAAAGATTATTTTTCTTCATACTTGATGAATCGTATTGTAGCGGTACTGGTGTTATTTCTCCTCACCGTGTTATATCTTCGACTTTCGTAGACACGAACGCAATGGACATTTTTCCTCCGCCATACCTATGCGTATGCAAATATGCGTATATCCGCTTGTGTCGCTATGTCTGCGTTTATAACGGAATATGGCGAAGGAGATTGATTGTAAAATATCATGGCTTTCCAAATGAATCATTACTTTCTCCGCTACACCCATCCAAGTACTCTTCGCTTTCGCTTTCCTTATACATACATATATATATATATATATATATATATATATATAGTGTGTTTCTGTTCTTGTTTGATTTTTTACGTTTTTCACTTCTTTTTTTTTTTACCACTGTCACTCCTGCAGTGGCCCGCGGAAGTTGAGGCGGAGGTGTGGGCATTCAGAGGAAGAGAGG